CGCCGATTCTTTGCTCTATTTCAGAGGCTATGCGGGAGCCCTAGTGGGTTCTTGCCATGCAGACAGAGATGGACACTCTTCAGCGTAATCATACGTGGGATCTTATCTTTTTACCTTAAAGGGTGAAACCTGTTGGTTGTCGCTGGGTTTACACACTGAAGTTTCTTACGAATAATACTATTGATCGTCACAAGGCTAGGCTTGTGGTAAAGGGCTTTACTCAGGTACCAGATCGTGATTTTGGTACTACATTTGCCCCCATGGCAAAATTGACTATTGTTCAACTGATTATTTCTCTAGCTGCGAAATACTCTTGGCATCTTCATTAATTGGATGTGAAGAATACATTTCTTCACGGTGATCTGGACGAGATTATTTATATGGATGCACCACCGGGCTTTCATGGTGAGGGGAAGTATGCTAGAAAGGTTTGTTGATTGCGTAAGTCTTTTTATGGATTGAAACAATCACCACGAGCCTGGTTTTCTCGCTTTAGTGATGTAGTTGTATGTTTAGGGTTCACCAAATGTCATTCTGATCATACCTGCTTCATTCGACAGAATACTTCCGAACAGTGTGTTATCCTTTTGGTATATGTTGATGATATTATTATTACTGAAGATGATGTTTCTGGGACTGTGCAAGTTAAGGTAGACCTTGGGAAGGCCTTCGATATGAAGGATCTTGAATTTTTGCGGTACTTTCTTGAGATTGAGGTTGCACGTAGTAGTAGAGGTATTGTTCTTTCTCAGAGAAAGTATGTTCTAGATCTTCTCTCAGACACTAGAATGCTGGGGTGCAAACCGGTATCATCACTCATGATTCCAAATCTAAAGCTTACTGCTGAAGGTAAAGAGTTGGGAGATCCGACAGTCTATCAGAAGTTGGTAGGTAGACTTATCTACCTAGCCAACACTATGCTAGACATTTCATTCGTTGTCAGCCGGGTTAGTCAGTTCATACACAGACCATGTCAGCCTCATCTTGATGCAGTTTATCATATTCTTCGGTAATTCAAGTCTTATCCTGGACTTGGGTTGTTCTATGCATCAAGATCATAAATTGGTTCTTTAGCCTGTTATTCAGATTCAGATTATGGAGGAGCATGTGATGGTCGATCTACTATGGGCTTCTGTGCTTTTCGAGGGACTCATCTTATCTCTTGGAAGAGCAAGAAACAGTCAGTTGTCTCTCGATCGTCAACAAAGGCAGAGTATCGCTTGGCACATGTGAGATTATCTGACTACAATCGATTCTTGGCGAGTTGGGATTTTCAGTGACTTCTTCAGCTACATTATATTGTGATAATCGATCTGCTATATAGCTCGTTTCTGACTCTGTATTACACGAGAGGACGAAGCATATAAAGATCGATGTTCACTTTCTTCAGGAGAAGGTTAGCAGTGGTATTGTCACTCCATCGTTTGTGGGGACTAGTGATCAGGTTGCAGATATTTTCACCAAACATGTCACTATCTATTCTTCGGAACTCAATTGTCAAGCTTGGCTTAGTTGACATTTTTGCGCTTAGCTTGAGGGGGAGTGTTGGAGATATAGCAGCTTAGTTTATTAGGATTTATCAAGTTTTTTCTTTTTTATCTTTTTACCTTTTTATCCTTATTGTAACTTTTATTGGCTATATATACGGGGACTGTACACTTAGTTTGTATCCTTTTTTCACTCACGTTTATTTCAAGTAAAAAAAAATAACTAACTGGAGGTTACTATTCAGTAACCATCAATAGAAGCAAAATCGTTGAAGATAATAACTATAAAAGAGCATGTAGCGGAAACGATGAAGGATACATTCAAACCCTTACGAGACTTACAATCTAGTTATTTTTAGTGATAGTTTTAAATTAGTTTTGGAAAGTACAATCATCTGAAATTTGTTTGTCGACTACGATTCTTTTATCGATCACAACACAACAGTTTTTAGAGCAACACATGTGCACTATGATTTTATTTTTTTTATTTTTTTAGGGGAGGAGGGCTTCAACCCTTTACCTCAAAAAGACAAAATTTTCACAAAATAAGAAGTACCATTGGACCAAAGACCCATTGATAATGAACTATGAATTTAAATCCTTTAAAAAGATGGAGATAATTTTCTTCATTTGTTCACCGCAAAATAAACTATTTAATTGCATTATTTTTGTGACAGTGTCATATCATATATATTTCCCGTTGCAGCAATAAAGTTTGGGCGAAGACGATAAAAGCTGCAACTTTTACATAATAACTATCCAACACCAAAACAAACAAGAATGGCGATGTACGGCCCATTGTACTGTAGTTCGAAACTTCCATGAAATTTCTAACACACATCAGAACAAAACTGTTTGTTATGGGTTGCTGTCCATTATTTGAGTGAGATATCAAATACAATGGTGTTGAGGGTAAGGGTGTCGATCTCGTCATACTGTGTGTTTTTCAGGTTTGATCATTTTTTGGATTCTTATCGAGTACTAATAATTCATAATTCTACAGATTTGTTTCAACAACTCATTTGGATGATGCAATACTAACCCGACTTACTCGGTAGTTGTGTTGTGTTCTAATCGAAAGCATAACGCACAAATAGAAAAATTTAGAAATAGAACCACATTTTCTCTCGATCAATGAGGTTTTTGAAAGCTACTTGAGATTTTCGCCTGTGAACGGTTTGTTAAGAGGCTTGTTTGAGGTTGGCTTTTGTAAGATAAATGAGTTAAACTTGAACACGTATTGAAACTCATCATTATTTGTAATAGACTCGCAAGTTGTAATTGACCTCGACTCAATAATGATCATTTTGGAATCGAGCCATGAGATTTGATCGGTCTAATAGATGGAGCTACTACAGAGTTGACACCAAGATTCGAATTTCATTGTCAACGCTTAACAATTCAGATAAAAAACAATCTCCTAAACCCAAAAAATCAGTTAAAACATAAGTGGACCTCTCAGTACTGGACCAATAACAAAAAGACACATTCAAAAGCGTTGCAATGCTTGCCCGACTCTTATAATTGAGTTAGACATGCAAGTAGGAAGTGAAATTTATAGAGGCCACACGAAGGCTTCTTTAAAAGAATGCAAGTTCTCTTGCGAAATTTCTGACTAACTTCCTTACTTTGCCCTTTTTTGACTTGTCTCTATGCCCAGATCATTGCACTTTGTCTTCATATTACCATGCAGAGCGACAAGAGTTGTATCAATGTATGTGTCACTTGCGAATTTGCATTCAAGTATGGGCTTCATATAAAATGAAATCATTAATACCAAGAGGTAGTTTAAGTGATTATAGAGACGAGTTGTAAATTTAGATTTTTTGAGTTCAAATCTTGATAATCTCTTGAAATCAAGACATGAGAGATTTATCCCTCATGAATGTCCTAGTTTCGGCATAGATGACTTGTCTTTGACCGGAACAAGAAGGAGATTAGTTAAGTTGCGTATAAATTAACCCAAACAAACCGTTAAACTTTAAAAAAAAAATTATTAATGAAACATTCCTTTCTACCAAAGAAATGTAGGTATGTGGGTTGTAAGTTGCCATTCTCTTCATGAGTACACTCCTTAATCTTGGGACATACATGCTCCGCATATTAGTTACTTCATTTCACTTCCCTCCAGGAAATCCCATACATTTATGTAGTCCCATTATAACAGCCTTCTATAGCCAGACATTGGGATTCCAATACCAGAAAGGTTTTTTTTTTAGTATAGTACCGAAAATTACTACTATCGAGGAACAAGTTATACATTATAAAATATAAATAACAACAGCTCGTAATCAATCATTAATAACTTCAATCAATTATAACTAAACCTTTAAAATGTGTGAATTAACCTTTGAAAGTGATATTTTTATGATCGATCACAATTGATGCAAGGAAGCAAATAAAAAAAAGGGTATAAAAAATGAAAGGGATAATGAAAATAAACCGTTAATTTACACACAAATACCGATTTAGATTCACAAATTCAAATATGAAAATTAACAGTGTTGACCTAGTTCAAATACCAAAATTCTGCATCATATTTTATTCCGCATGACAAATTCAACCCGTCAGACCAACCCAAACCACCTAGATATCAATTTAAGTACTATACTGCTATCCAATCTGCATCAACAATAACTTATAATCAATCATAATTTTTAAAATTATAATTTAGACCCTCAAAAGATTGCAATTTAATCTTTATACGTTGTCGAAGGAGGTATCATAGTCGTTCCCATTCGGTTATATCAATCCGACAAGTTTCCCACTTGTATGTTTGCAGAACCCTTGCTATCTTAGAGCTTCAACGAAGCTTCGTCTATCTCCTTCAATCGAAAAAGACATTCTCAGATTATGAAAAAACAATGAGAGGTTGCATTGTGCTGCTGTACTCTGCTAGAAATAACAGAAGACAGTATGGGTTCGTTGGAAGTTATAGTTCCTATGATCCTTTTTTTTTTTTGCTAAAACAAAAGGCATGTGATCGAGGGACCATTAAAGAAGTAAGAACACAAACATGTGACACGAGACGCAGATATAACACGACACGAACACGATATTTCTAAAAAATGTAAGACATACATTCATTGGTGACACGCTGAAGATAATTTTTTGTCGTAGGGATAATGATAAATAAATATTAGTCCACTAATGTGAATTTTTAATATAAAGCATCATAATAGTCAAATAATTATAAATGTTTTTATAGACGTGTACCTAACACATAGATTAAATAATTTTTCTCATTTTCTTAATTCCTTTAATTTAAAACTTTTTATGCATTTTTTATTTTTATTATTATATTTCCATTACAAGATTAATTTGTCTAGTCTTGGTAATAATATGTCCTCTTATAAAATAAAATACTTATTTGTTAAACTTTTACATTTTATTAGTCACGTGTCAACAGATTTATTGTTTAATAGTAGACACGGTCTAAATAAAGGCCGTGCACGTTACAAAAGAAGTGTCGGACATGTGTTAAAAATTAAAATTTTGTCTTTTAATTATAAACACAGATAAAAAAATATCAGACACGTGTCCCAAAACTTCTAAAGAATGTCAGTGTCAAACACGAATACACCACCTTACACCACCTTCTTGAAAGTGCTCGTATTTCATAGCCGCTCAACAAAACAAGCAATTTTGGTGAGGTTTCTTTGTATGCATCAAAAACAGCAGCAGTGGAGCCAAACATTTTTGTTTGCAGCATTTGGCGTTCGAATTTTGACTAGAAGCATCTGGTTCATCCAATATAAGGCCAATTTTGACTAGAATGGAGTCAACTTCAGCCGAGCTTTGAAGGTGTGCTTCGCGTGACATTTCTTGATCATAGCCAATTCGGATTGTATAGCTGCTGAAAAGCATAAAGATTGATCAATGCCCAGATTGCAATGCATTAAAATGTCAATGCCCAACATTGAACGTGTTCCCGGTCGGTCTATCAAAAGGTTTGATGGCAGCTTCTCAACTCAAAACTCAACTACAATCAACAACACTCTCTGTTTCCTACACTGCCTTTTTCTCTAGGCTTAATACAAAACACGCGGGATCCTAGATGTTCGACATCAAGTCCAGCATTCTCGCATCCAGTGAAGAAGAGTGATTCATCATCTTTTCCGATTCTGCGTTTCCAACTCATCAAAAATGCAGGCCTCGGCAGCCTGGTACATGTTTCTGCCGCAAAAATGATACAAGAGACTCAACAAGTTGATCAACTATGGTATACATAGACTTAAAGAATGAACTAATAAAAATACCACCATTATGTTTGTTATCACTCTGAGTAACTGCTGCATTAACTTTTGGCTCGTAAGATTTAAGGAGAAAGGATAGAGTTTTTATCAAGTTTGGATATTCTTTGACATCTGCAAGCAGCAAACAAAGAGAAACATGTCAGAAAACTTGAATGTGAAGCGTGGCAAAGTTATATACTTGGAAGTGAATAACTTCAACATACATGAAACACTGGAAATCAGTAAGCAAAACATCATGTGTGCACTTGTATGGCCTCGTGCTTTCTGAAATATGCCCCATATTGTTTCGATCATCCATTTATATTGTCACTTGAAATATCTATCACCGAAGGGGATACACAAATTAAGTGTAAAGCTCCGTATATATGGTCAAACAATAGTATAAAATTACCTGAACAACCCTCTGGTCTAGGCAAGATATAAAAGTCATAGTAAGGGTAAAAAAGAAAAAACCCTAATAAACTAGAATATAACTTCAACACTCCCTCTCAAGTTAGGCGCAAAAATGTCAACTAAACCAAACTTGACAACGGAGTCTCAGAGAATAGATAGAATGACAGGTTTGATAAAAATATCTGCATATTTTTAAAACTGGTCCTCAAAAACGATGGAGTGACAATACCACAGCTAACCTCCTCTCAAAGAAAGTGAACATCGATCTCTATATACTCCGTTCTCTCGTGTAGTACAAAGTCAAAAATGAGCTGAATAATAGATCGATTATCACAATATAATGTGAATGTAGAAGTCTTTAGAAATCCCAATTCGCTAAAAATCGATCGTAGCCAGATAATCTCTCATGTGTCAAGTGTCAGTACTCGATACTTTGCCTCTGCTGACAAGCGAGAGACAACTGTCTACTTCTTTCTCTTTTAAGAGATAAGATGAGTCCTTAAAAAAACACAGAAGCTCGTAATAGCTCAATGGTCACATGTTCCCCCATAATTTGAATCTGAATAATAGACTAGAGAACCAGTCTGAGATCCTGATGCATAGAACAACCCAAGTTTAAGATAAGACTTGAGATACCGAACAATATGATAAATTGCATCAAGATGAGGCTGATATGACTTGTGCATGAACTGACTAACTCGGCTGACAGCAAATGAAATAGCTGGCTTAGTGTTGGTTTAGTAGATAAGTCTACCTACTAACCTCTGATAAACAATTAGATCTCTCAACTCCTCACCTTCAGCAGTAAGTTTCAAACTTGAAATCATGGGTGATGATACCAATTTGCACACCAACATCCCAGTGTCTGAGAGAAGATCTAGAACATACTTCCTCTGAAAAAAAACAATATCCTTGCCACTATAACCAAACTCAATCCCAAAAAAATATCGCAGAAATCCAAGGTCTTTCACATCGAAGGTCTTCCCAATGTCTACCTTGATCTGTGTAGTCTCAGAAACGTCATCCTCAGTAATAATAATATCATCCACATATACCAAAAAAATGACACATTGCCCAGAAATATTTTGTCAAATGAAACATGTATGATTAAAATGAGATCTCGTAAACCCTAAACGTACAACTACACCACTAAACCGAGAAAACTACGAGCGTAATCGCTGTTTCAATCCATACAGATATTTACGCAGTCTACACACCTTCCAAGCATATTCTCCCTCACCACAAAAGTCTAATGGTGCATCCATATAAATAATCTCGTCCAAATCACTGTGAAAAAATGTATTCTTCACATCCAACTGATGAAGGGGCCAAGAGTACTCCGTAGTTAGAGAAATAATCAACTAAACAGTAGTCAATTTTGTCACAGGGGCAAAGGTTGCACCAAAATCACAGCCTAGTACCTCAGTAAAGTCCTTCGCCACAAGCCCAACCTTGTGATGATTAATAATACCATCCACAAGAAACTTCAGGGCATGTGTCTCATCTATTAACTGAACCTATGTATGTAACTCAACGTCCAAAGAGACGGACTGGTGCAAGCGTGAAGAACACGAGGTATATCTGTTGTAATCACAGCCACAGTAGTCGGACCCCTGAGAAATCAGGGCAGGAAATAATAGCATTCGTATTACACTATCAAAGGAGGAGCAGTAGTAGGAGCAGCGGCAGTAGGTGGTGGTCCCTCAACAATAACAACAGTATAGCCTCAAGGAGGCGACTTAAGCTCTAGATAGATCCTCCAACAAGCAGCCCTGAGATGTCCTGTTTGGCCACAATAATCACACTAACGAGAATCTCCCTATCTGCGCTGATCTAAAGCGCCTTGTCTGCACAGGTCCAGCCGTTATCCACCCTTGGTTAAGGGTCTTGAGCAAGACCATGTAGCAACTGCAAGGGTCGTCTGGTCAGCTTAAGGAGTCAAGGTCACAACTGGAAGTGATGCAATACGGACGTGACGCTCATGCTGTTCGATCATCGCATACACCTCATAAAGAGACGAAAGCCTCATCATCAACAAGATTTGGAAACGAGGTCTCTCAAACTCATTACGAAGCCCCATAAGGAACTTGTGAATCCTATCCTCCTGCTCTCGCATATGCAGGAATGCCGCTTCCTCGGACTCTATCCTCGAAATAGTAACAAGAGGACGTAGAGTCTCATACTCAAGCCAGCGCTGAGTCAAATAGCCATAATAATTCAAAACCCTCAAACTCATTACAAAGCCCCATAAGGAACTGATGAATCCTATCCTCCTACTCTCGCATATGCAAGAATGTCGTTTCCTCAGACTCTATCCTCGAAATAGTAACAAGAGGACGTAGAGTCTCATACTCAAGCCAGTGCTGAGTCAAATAGCCATAATAATTCAGAACCGTCATATCTCCCTGTCGAATATATAAGAGCTCTTGAGAAAGCTCATAAACACAAACTCCACGTCCTGAATGGGATACATCTTTGATAATGCACTCCATAACTTCATAATAGAGCTATGAAACTGGTGAATCCTATAAACAAACGGCTCCATCAACCCAAATAACTATCCAAGAATAGCGCAGTTCTCAGAGAACCACGCAGAATATTCAGAGTCGTCATTAGCTAGCTTTGAGTGAGATCCCGTCAACCAACCAAACTTCCCTACACAACCTAAGAAAAACTGAAATAAGCATGACCACTCAGCAAAGTTACAGTCATTCAACAACTGCGTTGTAACCCTCTGAGAGATCATACCCGACATTATCAATAATGCAACTGTGCCAATAAGTACTGTATACCAGTCAAACATAAAAGTAGGAGAACCAGGCGGTACAGTTCAGGTAGAAATACTAACAGTAAAAGTCTCAAGTCTCTCAATAGTAGCCATATTAACAACAATACTTAAGCACCCGTGACAGAAAATACTTTAAGATAAATAAAGGGACAAAATAGGATAAAACAATATATCTCCAATCAAACAGTAGCAACAAATAAAAAAGGTCCAAAAAGCTCCCAAATAATAAGATTATGGTGCCTCGAAATCCAGTAAATATATAAATAATCTACTGCATCAAAAGCAAATCAACAAAGAAAATGATCTGACCCCTCTTAAAAAGGTACTAGATACTACAACCCTAGGAAAAAGAAGCCAGCGACATGAAGAGATAGTGGCACCCAGACAAAGAGTGTGAAGCACGAAGACGTGGCAGACTAGTGTTGGGACTCATAATTGTTAATATCGTATAATACGCGATACGTATCGTCCGATACATCACGATACAGGCCTAAATCGATATGAATCGTATTTATGTATCGTTTTTGTATTGTATCATCTAATACACGATACGTTTTTATTATACTATATATATCGGTACAATACGCACGATATGCAAAGTCACTATTTATTTTTATTTTTTTTTGACAGCCTGATTCGCACCAGAGATGAAGACACCGAAACAAAAGCAACAGAGATGAAGCCACCGAAGCTAACAAAGATGAAGACACCGAAGCTCACAAATTAGAGAATAGAGAAAATGCCAAAAAAAAAGGCACCAGAGATGAAAAGGACAAAAATTACCGGGCAACAAATCAACAAAAACACCTAAGCAAAAGCAAAAATAAATCAAACAAATTTTTGAAATTAAAAAAAATAATAATACTAACCTGTAAATTTCGAATGAAACCCTAGGTCTCACAATCTCTCTCTCCGTGTCTCACGATCTCTATCTCTTTGTCTCATGAACTCTCTCTTCATCGCTGTGAGCTACGACCATGAGGTACCACTGTTCTTCTTCTTCCTCTCTCTCTCTCTCTCTCTCTCTAGCACCGGCATCGGCATCGCGATCGCCTCTCGCCTCTTCTCTCTGGCTCTCTGTGTTCGTTCGTGAGTCATGGGTAAACTCACGACTGTGTGTTTTTTGTTATAAGAACGAAGAATTGCATTTAATACCCCCTACATTATAAATTTTTACTTTTAAGTATACATAAGTATCATTAATTTAATTTGATACCCTTTATTATTTTTTTAATATTAGTAAATTATATTGGTGACTTGAATAGTAAGTGGAATATTAATGAAATGTTATGTTTTTATAAGTCTATGATTTTTTTTCAAAAGCATATATATTTTATTATTAATTATTTAAAATTACGATGTATATCAATACGATACACTATTTTTAAAAAACGATACACCTTCCGATATGCGATTTGATAACTATGCTGGAACTGCCTAGACGCGAGCTGGGTGCTGCCAAGATTAGGCTGGTCGTTGGTTGGGTTGGGCTAGTCGCTGGTTGACTTGGGTTGGGTTGCTTGAGTTGGATGTGCTTTTTAGATGCTGTCGGTGACTTGGGTTGCTAGAGAAGCAGTGAGATGCTGTTGGTGGCTAGGGCAGTGGGTAGTATCAGGCAGTGGCTGGTTTTGCTGGGAGGTTGGTAGGTTGGCTGGCTGCAGTTGGGTGGTAGATTGGTTGTCGCTGTGGCTAGGTGGTTTCATTGGGTGGCTGAGTTGCTGGTGTTGGTGGCTTCACTGTGGTTGAGTGGTTGTCTGAGTGACTGTTTGGGTTGCTGTCGGTGGGTTGGCTGGGTTGGCAGTAATGCTGAAGGTGGATTATGAGGCAGGCTAGGGTTAGGATTATGTGGAGACTAAGGTTAGGGTTTATGATTAGAGGTAGGGTTTTGCTATAATACCAACTTGAAATATCTATGAGTGAAAGGGATACACAAACTAAATGTAGAACCCCATATATATAGTCAAACAATAATATATAATGACCTGAACATCCCTCTAGTCTAGGCAAGACATAAAAGTCATAGGAAGGGTAAAAAGAGAAAAAAACCCTAATAAACTAAACTATAACTCCAACATTATCGATAATGACTGTTGGTCTTCTTTTATAAATAAGCTAGTCCGAGACTAGAATGACTTACCACTTATTCAATAGATTAAAAACTTCCTACATGAATGGGGCCAAGAACCACGAATGTGAATTCCAAGTTAATCTTAATAAATTCTTGCAGCTTTCTAGTGACAGAATATAGATCCACCCCACAGCTATATAAGCTAGAAGCAGTAATTTAGTGAACTACTTGTTGATATTTATATATGCCAATTGAACATTAGGAACTTACACAGTAATATGTCACTTGCAATAACCAAGTCCCAGTCAGGATCAGGTGTTGGAAAGGCATCTCCCCATGAATCTGAAAAATTCAAACATATTTTCAAGTTTATAGCATCAAGCAAGGGTAAAAACTATCAGCAGAAAAATAATGGACAATGTAAAGATATGCTTCAGTTACAATGTCATGAGGCTATTCCCATTTTAGAAGCCATTACTAAGTGTTGGTCTCTGTCAAATGAGGGTGCAAATAAAAGTGAATCGAGTTCAAATCTAAATCTCCACATTCATGGAGGGTAAAACCTGGACTGCACTGCCATATGACACCTTATCTCAACGCGCAAGAGTTATTTAAGATCTAATTTTTTCATCTATCGTCTTCCAAGTAATAAACAAAATGATAACCAAAAAGCTTAGTGGGGAAATAGAACTAACGCCTTATGTGACTAGGAAGAGGAGTAATGCCATTAGCCCTGCAATTATGTGCTATGTTCTCTTCAATTTCCTCATCATCATAGTCTGATGTTGTGATATCAAATTGAAATGATTTCCGCAGAAAAATGGCCAAAGCTCCAGTTCCACTGCCATGAAGTCAAAGAATAACATCAGGAACATGATTTGTGAACATAAAAGCAGCCAAAGCAAGCCAAAATTTTTGATGTCCTCTAAAAACCACAAGACACTGAGAATAATCGAAGTTTGAGTCTTAACTGAAAAGCAACAGACATAATGGAGTGAGGAACAATAAGCTCGGGGGAAATATAACTCAAGATCAAAATTTGAAAGGTGTGTGAAGGTTGCAACTCCAATGCCAAGCTTTTGAGGTTAGAATTTCTCAAAATGCATGCCTCAAAAGCACGAGATCCTAGCCAAACCCAACACAGTATAGTGGAAAAGTGTTGGCATTGGATCCAAACAAGTGGAATAAGGTCAGGGGTTCAAGTCTTATTGCTATCAAGATGAGTTTGGACATGGCCCATATTGGTTTCATTACTTCACATACATGACAACCACTATATTGCACTACGATATGCAAAAATTAAATAAGTAATACATGTCTATCTATTGTATAGGGATTTTATCTGAGTTGCAAAGAAGCAATTCCATGAAAGGATTACAAAGAAAAATAATATTTAGAAGTTAAACATATGTACTAAATACTCCATTACTTTAAAGACATGCCTGCCCAATTCAATTGTGCGCCTTCCTTCCATCCATGACTTGTGTTGAACTAACCATTCTGCAAATGTAAATGTCCCAGGCCAAAGTAAATTAGCATTCAGCTGGTGAAAAGAAAATTCTCGAATGAGCAATTCCTGCAGACAAACCAAAACATCCGTTTAAGGAACAAGAATTTTTTTTTGAAACCTAGTAGTGTTTTAAATTTCTAATCCAACCTACAAGAAGATGAGAAAAACCTTTGCTACAATAAAAGGGCAGTGATGATTACACTAATACCAAAGACTAAATTTTTCGCCAATAGTTCTTTTTTTCATAAATAACATTTTTCAACAAATTTTTCATTTTGTGGATATCATTTTTTTTTCACAAGAAGTTTTGTGGAAATCATAAAATGGTTCAATGCCATGTTTCTTTCATCTTCTCTAATCATGTACTAGGTTTTTGTCACCAAGAAAGCTTTTCTACTCAATCTTATCATTTTCTCTCTAATTAAAAGTTTTAGAGTTATATTCAGGGACGAAGCTACAAGGTTCTCACTAGGGGCACCTGCCCCCACTCACTTATTTGTTTCAATTCTTTTATATATGTTCAAATATACTTTGAAATTTAAATTTCCTCCCTTAAACAAATGTGTCCATCAATTAAGGAAATTCTCATGCATTCTTTTCAAATCTGAAAACTAGTTTGGGATAACTCTAAATGAATTGAATAGAAGAATTACCAGTTAAAATTTAAACTACCGTGTGGTAACACTTTTTTTAGGTGAAATAGTAATAACGTCAGAAACATAAAAATATATTTGATTACTATATAAGAAATCTCATCTACATGAATAGTAGTAAACAAATATTGCACTTATATATACATATTTACACTATAGTACATGTGATTATATTTGTAAGAATAGAGTACGTCATGGTAAGGAAACAAAAACACAAAAAATAAACAGTTCTTAAAAATTGTTTTTTTAGAAAGTAAAAAAAATATAAGTAAACACTTAAAAAGTGTTAACCCAACAGTACCTAAGTTTTTGTATTTGTTTTTAAATCTATTTTTTATCACACTATTATTAAAATTTGCCCCCACAATATTTTCTAGCTTCGCCCCTAGTTAAATTTCCCATTCAAATGTTTGAAACGCGTACAAACTGCTCCAATCCTCAAAGTTCCATTCCACTTCTTGAATGTTCAAAAGTTAAACGAGGTGGGTCAAAGCTATTAGCTTCAATTTGAGTTAATTCTAATCATAATGAATCTGGTTCAATATCACGATTCTAATCTTTGATCACAATGTCAATCTCAAACCATATTTACGCAACCCATTGGAGTTGAATTCTACATTAAAATGCTCCAGAACAGGTTGCCAGGTAAAACATTCTGCCATTTCTCTCATGCAATTCAAATTTAGTATAAATGACCATATGCCTCTTCGACAATTCTGAAGCTCTCTTCTCTTGCGGGAGAAAAATTTTTGCATCAAGATACCAAGAGCAAAACCAAAAAATAGCATCTTTGTGTAGGCAACCCTATAAGATAACATATAGAAAAAAAAAAATCTGATAGGTGGCCAAGTTCTGAAAAATTCCATGCTTTTAGTATAACATTTGAAGTGAAGATACTAGTGAACATATGAAGAGACTAACCAAATGGTCTCTAGAAAGCCATATGCAAATACTGTACAAAACAGAAAATCAATGCCCGGAATAATCATTCAGAAGAGTGCCAATTCAGAAGTCATAACTAATGAATTCAGAACTTTTTCTGCATAGGGAAATTCTTAAAAACAAAAGAAAAGGCAGCAGCTTCTCATTGAGGGGTTTGAAAAGGTCAGATTTGTGACAACACCGACAGTGTGGCACATAACCCTACTCGTTTCGCCGTTTGCAGTGATAATCACCAATTCCTTTTCAATGGGAGACAATCACCAACTCATTACAGCAAGTCATAGTACCAACCTTCTAAAATATCCTATAAATATCTAACTATTATCAATCACACAAACAAACGATACATAACATTCTAATTCGCCCACAATGACACGCCATTAACTATAACGAATGTTGTGAGCTGCAGACAAATAAACAGAATAACCCAAAAGCCTAAAAGATACGACATCAATGTTTTTCTATGTGGGTATTGTTCAAAAACATGAATAGACTAACCATTCCTGGGAACAGGTGCCTTCTCTCCACATAGTTCTCTTGGGTCTCCGTCGCCTCCCCATCTGCAATTACTACCCATTAATTGTACATATTTACATATAGAACACTGAAGAACGAGAAAGGTAGAAAGAGTACCACTGGAGCTGCTGTCGTCGCCGACGAACAGAGAAGATGGAGAGAAGAGAGCAATGTCCATTTTACTAATTGCGACCCGAACAGAAAACGGACCTAACTTAAGATTTCAGCTGTGCTTTTTGAACCCCCTATTTTTGTGATATTTTTGACTCTGACCCGTCTTATTCAGTCATATTAGATAATGAATAAATCAAGTTGGCCACAACCCTTATGGTGGTCTAGTAGTCACTAATCCCTAATCATTAATACTATTCACTAATTAAGTTTGTCCTCTTACAAATAAGAGATCTTAGATTCGATACTTTTTATATCTCTTAAAAGTTAACTATTTTTGTTCTTTAGGAATATGTTTTTACACTAATTTAAATTATAGTGATCGATTCAGAATTCATGAGAATAATGGATATAAAACTGAATGCTATATGAAAAAAAATAAAGTTTGCCGCAAACAACTTTTGAACCTCAATCTCCTAAATATAAATTTTAGTACACGTCACACAAAAAATAAGGTGAATAAGCTGAAAAATAATCCTATAATATCCCAATTAATATAATGAATGTCTTTACCTAATGATGAAAGTGAGAAACTACTAAAAAACGGATGCCAACAATTTACTATAAACTTGTCTATAAAAAGCATATGATTAATTGTCACCCTTTATTAATAGGTCTTTTATCTAATGGTACTCTTTATTTTATGAAAATTTTATCATCAAAGATTCAAACTACTTTCCCCTCCCCCTCCCCCTCCCCCTCCCCAAAAAAAAAAAAAATTGCCACCCCTTGTTACCAAAAAAATTTGTATGTCGAACCCAAACTGTCATTTTGCATGCTAAAGCAAAATAGGTCTGTCAATTAAGTTTCGGGAAGCGGGTTTGTGTAGAATTTTAACAAGTTCGTGTTAAAAAATACTTCATTTATATTCGATTTATTTTTTAATTCATGTCTAATGAGTCGTCGAGTTGATGTCATGTATCAATCATGTATTACTTGTATATAAACGAATTATGTCGTGTATTTTTTTTATTGATTATATTTATATCTAATTTATTTATTAATTATGTCGTGTTTAATCCATTCGTTTCAGAAATAGATGGTTTAAAGAAAGTTCAAAGTGTTAAACTTTATATCTTACTTACGAGTCATATTTTCACAATGCTAAAGTAAAGTATCCAATAAGAACAAGGAATATAGAAAGGGATTTTTAGAAGTCGGTACACCTAATTAGACTTATTTGGCAAAAAGTACATATTAAAAAATATTTTAGAAAAAAGGTACACTAGTTAGATACAAAGACATAAATGTCTATTTTAAGGAAAGTGGTGCATTAAATATCTCTTAATTTTATGAGAGAATTTTAATATTTAATGCATATTAATTCATGTGTATATATATATATATATATATATATATATATATATATATATATATGTATATAAATACAATATGCGTATATATATTTATACTTATACTTGTGTGTGTGTGTGTGTGTGTGTATATATATATATATATTTATTTATTTATTTATTTATTTATATTTATATTTATATATGTTTGCATTTATATACATATATACAAGTATGTATATATGTATATAAATACACACACACACATATTTATATATATATATATATATATATATATATATATATATATATACATATATATATATATATATATATATATATATATATATATATATATATATATATACGTGTACAGTGTAACATTGAAAGTGTAAAGTATTATCTTATGTCTTACCTTACTTAATGAAAAGTGTAAAATGTTACATGTTAATATTGACAGTGTAACACTTTCTCAATTAATTAGCATTTTTAGTGTAAGATGAGATATGTATATTCTGTTGTGTAACACTTTAGGTAATGTCTCATCATACCTTATGTAAATAGTTTGTTACATTGTTATTATTACACTGTTATTGTTACTTTCAATATTACCCTATAATACTTTACACTTTCAAAAATGTTACACTTTACACTTTCAATGTTACACTTTACACGTGTATATATATATATATATATATATATATATACACACTTTACACGTGTATATATATATATGTGTGTATATATTAATACATATATATTTATGTATTTGTTAATATTTATATATATACAAATACATATATATGTATTTGTTAATATATATATATATAATATATATATATATATATATATATAATATATATATATATAAATATTAACAAATACACATGAGTCAAGGTGCATTAAATACTAAAGTTCTCCCATAAAACTAAGAGATATTTAATTCACCACTTTTCCAAAAAACATACACATGGATCAATAGAGGACAAAAATGTCACAAAAAAATTAGACAAATTTAAATTGTGTACTTAGATACAAATAAGTATCAAAATTGAGAACTTAATAACCCTACATTTTTTAGTGTGTACTTTTTGTCAAATAAGTCTAATTTTGTGTACCCCTTACAATTTATCCATATAGAAACGAATACAAAAGCCCAGCATGGTCGGCCCAATTTTATGGGAATCGTCGTTGAAACCTGAATTGTTGTCTATGCATATATATATGTACTTATGTAGACTGGAGGAATAGACTGAGATAGTTGAAGTGTTGAGAGAGACTTGAAGGGGTTAGCCCTCGTGATGGCACGTGTTAGAGCATTAAATAAGCACGTGTGAGATTGACAAGACTAGTCACGTGATGAAGAAGTCATTCACCAAGTCACGTGATCCAAGCCGAACTGATCAAAGGATTTGGCAAATAAAGAAAGAGCTCGATACTCTTTATTGCCGAGCTCATGAATCTAGTAGCTTATCAAGGGAAGTGCTCGGCTTGTACCAAGCCAGGTTCCCTGGAGTATTCGGGAAAGCAATTAAAAAGATTGGTTTGTGTCAAACCAAGTCTCACACTGTTCGGCAAATATCAAAAGTGCTCGGTGTTCGATATGTCTGAGCTGTTCAAAATGATAGATGAAAGTATAAAAATACGCCTATAACTTAGGCAATCAGATAAACGAAACAACGAAATTGTAGATATCAGGAGGAATTATTGGAGAAATATCAGCAACTTCCCAAACTGAATGATTGAATGGAAGGAAGGTGTGCCACCTTGAATCTAAATTCATGGAAACCCTAAGGGGATAATGATTAATAAAAACTCAAAGGAGTCAAGGTGAAAGGTACGCTGAATTCTCCTAGACTTGCACAATTCTTTCTGTTTCATTACTGACTTAAGCATCGGAGTGCCTTCGATCGAACACTTCGATCTAGGACAGTTTGTTTGTTTTGCAGGAAAGAGTTGAGGAGATTGTTCAGATTTCATTCTTAGAAATCGTTTCACAAATTCACATAGAGGTATAACCAATTTTTTGCCTCTACATTTTGGCGTCGTCTATGGGAAAATCTACATTCTTTAGAACAAAAAGCTTCGATGTCGAGACTCAGAAACGCAATTGGATCACCCATAGGCAGTTTTTCCGTGGAAAACTCAGATCCTGCGACTCTTTCTTCTGACAGCAACGCAAGGTTGCATGTAGTCAGAAGCCCCTCTAGAACTCATGAAGGTGACGAGGTATCCTCCGCGAGTTTCAAGCCTTCGAAAAACCAGAACCAGCAAAGCAAGGATCATGGTAAATCCCTCCGTGTCGAGGGGGAGAACCATTCCTTGGCAAAGCTAGTTCAGTACCTGCAGGATCGACTTGATGCCCATGACAAGCTGTTCAAGAAATCCTACGCTAGGGAGAAAGATTTGATCCAAGAAAATAAGGAGTTAAAAGCCAAGTTAAAGGAGATAAGCAGAAGGGAAAAAGGGCGAGAGAGGGTCGACAAGAAAGTCTGAAAAAGAAACCCAACAGGGTTAAAATTGTCGATGAGAAAGATTATCGATAGAAGAAGCCTCAGATCCAGGATGAGGACACGTGGAAGCAGTATATCGACGAAGAGCTCAACATTCGCTTGAAAAGACCAAAGCAAAGGTCGGCCAGAGACCTTGCCAGAATAGCAACCGGGGAGTATGGAGACAGATTGGAGTCATTCCCATTCACTGGCTGGGTTAAAAAGGCTCGCATCTCAAGCAAATTCACCGTCCTGAACTTCAAGTTGTATGACGAAAAGACCGACCCAGCCTCACATATCAGGCACTTTCGGTAATTGATGACTATTCATCAAAAAAATGAGTCACTGCTTTGCACTATCTTCCCCAACAGCCTTGGGGAGTCTGTCATGAAGTGGTTCGATAGCTTACCAAAGAGAACGATTGACGGATGGTCTCAATTAGCCAAGCAGTTCACCACTCGATTCATCACGAGTAATAAACAGCCAAAGGATGTTGGGGCTTTACTAATGCTGAAAAAGAAGAGTAACGAAAGCCTAAGAGAGTATGCTCATCGCTATTGGGAGACTATGAATGAAGTCGAAGGATGCAATCCAGATATTACAGTTGCATCCTTCAAGATAGGCTTGCCGAAAGAAAACCCTTTATACCAATCACTCATAAGGAGACCTGCTACTGACCTGGAAGAATTGATCGCAAGGATTGAAAAGTATGCCAACGTTGATGACAACTTATCCAGGGAAGTGATTAAGGAACATCCGAGCAAGAGAAAGCTCGGTAGAGACAAGCAAACCGAGCCAAACAAAGAAGGAGGACGAAAATTTGAGAAGGATGGATATCCCCAGAAATCCCCTTTTCTGGGGGTGAACACATTGTTCAAGGAACCAATTTACAAAATTCTAAGTCAGATCAAAGGAAAGTCTTCTTCAAATGGCCGAACAAGTTAATAAGTGATCCATCTAAAAAGAATCCAAACTTTAGGTGCTCGTATCATAGGGATATTGGACACATGACTGAGAATTGCCGATCTTTCAAGCAACATCTGGAGGAGTTAGCACAAGCTGGACACCTCGCAGAGTTCATTGAAAGTGAGCAAAAAGCAATTAGGAGGAGTGTCGAGCAAAAAGGGGATCACAACACTCTAATTGGTGTAATTGATGTGATCCATGTTGCCACCAATCCTCAGATGTCCACAAACAACTCTGCTCGGGCCTATATTCAGAAA